TTCTAATATATATATATTCTTTACTAATATCTTGATTTATCAAAAAATATGCATTGAAATTAATAAAAATACCGTAGTTTATAGTATTATTTGAAAGTTCAACATATTTTTAATTTCGGATAGTAAAATCAAATAAAAAATCAAATTACTATAACAATTATAATAATAATAACAATAATAGGTTGTTAAAACTAAGAATAATTTAATTTACACCAAATAATTAAAGAAATTTCATAATAATAATTGTTATTAATTATTATTATCTGCCCATGGATAGTTAAGTATACTGAAAACTTTGCTAAACACTCATTTACTATGTGTTTTTAATTAGTAGTTTAGGCCCAGCGCTTGTTTTATATTGATTATAAATCGAGGATAGTTTTTTTCATTGCTCAGGGCTTGAGTTCAAACTTACTAATTTGAATTTTAATTAAATCGTGTCGTAAACAGTTTCGTATGTTTTAATTTTCAAAAACTATTCATACCCTACACTCTACAGTTAGAAGTATAGTAGATAGGGGTATTTTATTAAAGCCGATGGGTACTAGGTACTAACTATTTAATTTTGAATATAATTTAAAAATTAACTATTTAAACATTTTTACTACCAAGTTTTTTATCATTATATTTATATCATATTTTTATAATTAAGTTTTTCATTTGAATCAGGGTTTATTCTAAAGATTTTTATCAATTACGCATTTTGTTTAAATAAGCCTATTAAAATATAACTTTGATCTCAAAATATACGGTGAAATTATTATTAAAAATTATAAAATTTGTAGCCTGTATGTGAAGTAATTTAAAATGTAACCCATTTAAAAGATATAAAACAATTTATATTCGTGTTGAAAGTATTTTTTTTATCAAATGTCCTTTTAACTTTATTCATATATCATAACGTAATGTATAAAATAACACTAAACAACATTCAATTAAAAATCAATCACGCAAAAGTTTATTATCAAGTGCACATATAGCTTTTCCAAATACGCAAAATAAGCCCGACTGTGCTTTAGAATAAGCCCTGATATGAATGCATGTATGCATTTTTATAACACCTGTATATTTTTATTTTACATCATTAACATTTTAAGCAATAAAGGAAACAACTATAATTGTATGCTTTAATTACATTTTTATATGATACTAGAAAAATATTTATATTAAAAGGCGGCAATTTGTTTAGTGCTTAAAGCGGCACAATGATTAAACCCAGCACTGGATAAGTATAAATTGATAGCTATAATTTTTTTTATGTTTGAAATATTTGAAAATAATTGAATTTAGTATCCAAAAAATAACATTGTTTTTATATTACGAGTAATTGGTATAAATTCTTGAAAAAATGTTAAGAAAATAAATAATCATAAATGTATTAGTACATAAATGTATAAGTGTTAAGACATTCAAAAACAACAAAAAATCCATCTGAATGATTTTTAAATTTTTTTATTCATTTTTTTTTTTGCATTGTTAATTTAAGTACAAATTGAATAATTTTATGTAGAATATAAATGCATGTTATTTGTTTAAATACAGTTCGAGTTAAATACAATATTAACATACTGTTCATACTTTTCGAAGTATGACATTTTATTGCTTATATTTTAGTCGTCAATACTCATATCTTACCTATTATTTGCCATTCTGCGTTTCGTTGGAAAATTGTATTTTACATGTTACTGTTAAAATTATTGAAAATTAATATATCACTACAGAACTATTGATTTTTTAGCAGATTAAATACATTTAAAGAATATTATTTTATTGCTTTATGTGTTACTTGCATAAGTTAATTTTTAATTCTTAAATAATTAAAAAATATTTAATACAGCCATGAACTTTGGTATACTTAAGTATAACCCTATAAACATATCTAGTATTATTTTATCCAAATTATTACTGTACATTTTATTTATTTTTCTGGTTGTTATACCTATTATCTCCGGAATTTTTTTTTAGTTCTTGTTTTATTATAAATCAGATAAATAAACGATTTACAAGCTTATGGTGGTGGTAGAATTACAATTATTATTATTATTATTAAACATTAGATTAAAATAACAGTTAGAAAATATCAAATGAATACATATTTTTTAATAGAAATACAACCATTTTGAATTCGTTAATTCGATCTTTAAAATTAGTTGTTCGAATTTTATGTATGTGTAATATTAATTTTACATATATCGTTACCTTATTTAAAATTCTATTTATATGTTCACTTTATATGTATATTTAATACTTATATCATCATGAATACATATAAATATTAAATATACACGTAAAGTGAACATATAAACAGAATTTTAAATTAAGTAATTATAGATGTAAATTTATAATTACACGTACACAAAATACAAATGAACTATTCTAATGATGAGTTCAGTGACGAACTGGCTAGGGGAGCTGGGGAGATTTATTTTCCTGGTCCGGTGACAATTATCAATTTATGTGTCAACCCAAAAGCATTTGAATAATATGAATCATATTGGTATTATACAAATGTTTATTTATTGGTGCATTTTAGTATTATGCTAAAAATACGTACGTAAAATCATGTTTATTTACTGAGTAATATTGTGATAGACAGGGGTTAAAGTGAGGTAATGCAAAGGGACGCAGTCCCTCACCTCTTATAGCACTTATAATATAATATAAAGCGTTCCCTTTAACATTTCACCGAAACGTTAACTGAAACGCTCAGCTGTTAGTTAAAAATAATCATATTCAAAAAAACTATCGAGAAATTGGTTTTGAAATTCAGTTGATGTCACTAGATGTTAAACAGTGTTCCACAAACAAAATATATTATTGAATATAAATTATAAATTAGTTTAGTAGTATATACCTATATGAACGTATTTTTAATTTTTTTTATTTTAATAAAATATGTATACAATCTGTTATCTAAAACAATAAGTAAGTAATTTTCAAATTTATTGTTCATTATCAACGCCTCATAATGTATAAACCTATTTATAATTAATTACCCAGTAATTATATGGGACTATATGGAAGGTTGAGAATAATATAAGGGTTATAGTCCCCTGCCCTTTTTTGCCACTTTAAACCCTATGGATAGATAATAATTAAAGATACGAGTGGTATTGTATAATGTTATCCAAGGCTTGATTAAATCTATCAGACGTTAATATGCAGATATAAGTAAAAATTGTTGATTCAGTTTTCAAAAAATGTTATAGAACTAAGGTTAAATTATAAATTATATGTTCTTACAAGTCTGTTTGTAAAAAACTTTAAAACGGGCCCCTAGATCTTTCTGGGCCGTTTTGTTCTCAGTGTACCTCTGGATGTGATTAACTAATTAACAATTTTTATAATTGCATTAGACCTCTTAGAACTTTTTTGTATAAAGTGGTATTGAATTAAATCAAAAATGAACGCACATCTCTCTGAAATAGTGAAATGAGCACAATTATGCAATCGAAATAATAACATAATAATCCCATAATTTCAGTTATAATAGCGGCCCTGCTTTCTGACCATTGGCGTAATCAGTTGGTGTCATTGTAGTTCTTTATAGTTTAGTCGAATGAAAATTATAATTGAGTGTATAAAAAGATAATTTTCAATCTGTTAATTTTTTTATTCGAATAAAATTAGTGATTTAATTTTAGCATCTGTAATTGAAATGGAATAAGGAAAATAATTATAGGTTACTATAATTCTCTAGTTATATGCCTATACTTAGTTAAAAAAAAAAAATAAATAATTTTATTTATTCCAATAAGTATAATATTTCATGATCAAAGTTTTTCTAAAAGCGATGAGAATTTTTTATGATTTCCAAGCAAATTCGGACTGGATAAATTTCTACAGGGAAAATAAAAAAAAAGGCCCACTTATATTTACTAAAGGTATAAAAAATACTCAAAAAAAAAACGTACATTTTCATATAAAATGATTGTATATTATTTTGAGAATTTGAATACTCGATATTATAAATAAAAATGAAAAGACTGTTTATTTAATTGAAGACAGTTTCTGATGCAATCACATTATAAAATGCTACTATGTCTGTAATCACAATGAGCCTAAGCCAATAAATCCAAAAAAAAAAAACTTCCCAACGAGCACAAGTCGCCCCAGCGGGAAATTCCCGGTATCCCGCCTGCTCAGTTTCCAAGATATCTTGTAATCAACTTCTTCTAAAACTAGCTCTTCTGCCACATTATCATAAAGGCTTTTAAAATGTATAATACACTAGTGCTTCCCAAACTGTGAGGCGTGCTTTCCTAGGGATCGACAGTGATTTGATTTTATTAAAAAAATAAATAAATAAAATTATTTTGTTTATTCATGGGAGGCGCGATTAAATTTTTGTTGTTTTGGGGTGCGTGAACCAAAAAAAAAAAAAAAAATGGGAACCACTGCAATATACACGAACAATATTTATTTCGTTTGCGGCAGATTATAAATCGGTGTACCGTTTCAGTGGAAATCTCTCTGCTAACCCTTTGATCGGCATTTGGCGACGACGCGCAGATGACGGATGTAGCAATGGGGCCAACTTAACGCAGCTACACGCCGGGCAACGCGCAGGCGCGCCTCGTACCTACGTACAACACGTACGACAATAGGTACAATAATTACAGTTTGAGTGCCGCAATCGAATCGAAAAATATTATTCAATTTGCTAGCCGACCCTGTCCCACGGCCGTCGTGCTCCGAACAACGTCCAACATCTCGCAACGACTGCATTCACGTACCGAGACATAATCGCGTATCGCTCGCAAGGTCCGTAAAATAACCCTGCCGGGAATAATAATTATTATTATAATAATAATAATAATAAAAATATTAATAATAGTAATACCGGGAACAGCCGGGCCCGTCGGGACGGCGTACCGCAGGGCTAGTGTGCGGCCCCTGTAACGTGTCGATATCGGCAATCGATTACCATTCGTGCGACGCGTACCGGCGCACAACGGAGCGTGCACGACGGCGGCCAGTCTCCGGTGAGTCACTCGTTCGCAACGTTATCACTGGCGTTATCAGATCGGGTGAGCACGTACGGCGCGACACGGATCCGCAGTCAACAAATCGTTTACACTTTGCGGCCGTCACCGAGGTCCGTTGCCGATCCGATCAACGCTGTTCGACGGAGCCGCGACCTTTCGCGATATCCACGACGAGCACGGAGGACGCGCGTCGTTCGACACAGCGGTTGTTCGACAGACGGCACACACATTCGTACACGTAAATACTTACTTAAATATTATGCGAATATTACAAACCCTATGTACATGCACCGCCATCGTCATGCGTACGCGATAGACGAGACAATGTCAACGGGAAATCGAACTCGTTCCACGTCGCCGTTTCCGACCACAGACGCGCAGACCATGTTCGGTCCACGGCGTTTTTCTTTGACGTTCCGCATCGCAACCGGTTCGGTACGATACACCGCTCGAGAGTTCAGTCGATCGGCTAGCAGCACGTAATCCTTACCGTCCACAGTGATACCGATTTCGGGCGAGGAAAACATTAACGATAATATTGCGTTGAACCCGTGGAACATCGTAACTTATATGTTTGTCCGTAGTATTGCGTGCTTGCGTGCAACGCGTCTATCCGTGATGGTAGGCGTCCAGTTCTTATTGTTCTTTTTCCTCTACGAAATACTGTAGTACTTACAGTAAAAAAAAAAAAAAAAATTAAAAAAAATATAAAAATATAAAATACTCCGATGAAAATCGTTTTGTTCGCATTTTAGGTCTGCACACGTTGGTTGGCATAATGAACAACCCACCGAGCTCAAGCAGTTCTTCATGTGATCCAGGTCCATCGAATTCTGTAGCTGTTCGAAAGCGACTGACTTCTCCATATTCTGGTGATTTTGGCGAGTACTTCTCACAACAGTACTCTGTACTCAAGTTGGTCTTGTCGTATTTAAACTATTATGATCTCAACACTCTTCGGTCGGTGAACACTTCATTGAAAATGGCTGCTGATATTCTGTTAAAAAAACGTATATGGATTCAGAGTGGTTCTTTAAATTATTTGCAAGGCACCGATCATCGTCCAGAACCTATACACACTAAACATTTCATCGATTTAAAAATTGAACCACAAGTGTTGTTCACTTTTGAAGGCGTGGCTGGAAGTCCATCTTCTAGATCCAGACCTAAGATTTGCATGCGCTTGCGAGATAGAAATGATGATCGTTTTTTTCCTAAAAATGAGATTGTGCCAAATTCTGTTAAAACTTTCATACCAATCGCATCTAAAGGTATTATTTATCCAGAAAAAAATGACAAAAATGAATTGATTATTGTTCAAACAATGTTGCACAAAAAACTAGTACTTCTCTATTTGCCTACGAAAGACAATTTTGAGGTTAGCGTTTTTACACAAGTATTTACAACTGAATCATTTGAAATGGGTAATATTCGCAGATTTTTTCTTAATGATCATCGTCCTGTCCAAGGAGTATTATTTCTGAAAATTGGCCCACCACACGTTGAAGGAATAATTACATATATCGTTTCACTTATATCCACTAACCAGTCAGAACCATTTGCAGTGTCTGGTGGACATGTGTCAAGTCTGGACTATGACAATCCACCTAAGAAAAACTTTTCTGGTGTTCTTAAAGCAATTGTATTTCGTGGTACGGGTATACGATGTATGTCAGATTTTATTGGTGCTACTACTAATGATGGGGTACTCGCGGGCTTAAAACATGCATCATTGTATGTTGACAAAACTTTTGGTAAGCTAAATGTTCATAAAACATTTATCATCATGTTCCAATGTATTGACAGAAATGCATTGCCAATTGAAGACTATACTCTTCTTGCCAAAATATTTCCAGGAATTCCGATTTTTGGATTGCAAACTTGGGGAGAAATTGGATTTAGATCTTATAACCCTCATGGATTGACATTTATTCCTAAAAAGAGAAAGTTAAACATTATACATTCAGTTAAAACTACATATATGTTAGTTACTATGGATTAATATAAATTTATTTTTTTTCTTTTTTTCTATATTTTTATTGTTTTATTTTTTTTATTAATTTATTTTTTCATTCTCATAACACATACTCAATTTTTACATTGCAGTTTAATTTAATTTAAACTAATTATTTATACATGGACTATATTATGCAGAAAATATCTGCAGAAAGAACCCTATTCCTAGTTGATTGATAATTTTGTTATCTATATTAATGTATTTTATTAATTTTATGATGTGTAATTTATTACATAACAATTATTTATAAGACACTTGTATATTATGCTCGTGTATATAAAGAATTATTAATACAGTTGCCAATCATTGGACTTGCAGTTAATTGACTTATTTGAATAATGGACTCAAATGGTCTAGTTTTAAAGTGCAATAGACAACTGTATTACAATTTTATATCTAATCTACTAAATTCTATTATTTTTTTTTATGGACTGTGAAGATATCAGTATTGCCACATTTCCACTATAAAATTAAAGAATTTGCTAATATAAGGAAAATAAATTGAGTTTCATTTTTAAATTCTTTGATTATTTTAGTTGTTTTAAAATTATTGAATGTATTTCAAATTAAATGATAAGATAACATATATTGTAAATTTAATAAAGAGTGCATTTAATTATTTAGAATTAAGCGTAGCAGGTCCTGAATCACCCTATATTTTTACATATTATTAAGAAATTATTAACTATACATTTTAATTACCATATATATTTTGCATGATTTCAGTTTATTTTTATTAATTTACTGAAGTAAATTCATGCCATTTAATTTTAATCATAAAAAAAATAATAATTTTGAACAGCCACACAATGATTTATCTGATCGAGATTTCAATATAAAGTTAGATAATTGATATATTTTCCTCATTGAGAGATTGTTTTTAAATTATGCATAATTATATAATTATATCATAATCATAATTAATTAGCAGAATATTTACTATTTTAATAGCTAAAAGCAAATTATGTAAAATAATGTTATTGAAGGCCTGCAAAATCCAAGTCTGACTTGTTTTTCATGTAATTTTTTTAAGTGCAGTGATTTATGAGTTGATCTCACAATTTGTCATTCCCAAAGTAATTTATTTCTTGATCCTGAACGATTTAAAAGACTATAGTTTATATATTTATGATATTTTATTTTTACATATTAAAGCTCGTTTTTATTTGTATTTTATTTTATTGCTAAACTATTATTTTTATTATTATTATTATTTATATTAAAAAGTTGCATATATTTTTATTTGATGTTTTTAAATTGTGTGTTCATATATATAAACAGAACAAGTTTCTTATTATTGTTTTAATTATATTATTTATTTGTTTGGATTATATTTTTTATTTTTAAGTAACGTCATAATATATTTATAAATTATATTGAAATAATTATTTATATGGTTTTATTAAATATTAAAATGTATTTATATATTTATTTTTTTTTGAATCCTACCAAATATTGTCAAATAATTATTAGTTATTATTATTTTAAATTTATAATTTATATAACTACTTCGTGATTTATATTTATTTTATTTGAATATTAACTATTCATTTTATTATTTTATAAAACAATTGAAAATTGTCTCTGTTAAAATTATAAAAAGTACTATAATTGTAATTTTAAACTCTAATAAAATAGAACATTTTTAATTTTCATTAATTTTATCTTCTTTATGTTTAATAAATGTTTCATTATTCAAGAATATTAATTGTTCAGTTTTCATTTTTAAAGTGCATACATTTTCTTTAACATGTTAAGAATATAATAACTTTTTTTTTGTGGTGTTTATCTTATGAATTAAAATTAAAATTATAATTTAAAATGTGTTTAATTTTTAAAAGAATAATTCAACTATTTGGAGAATTTAAAATTACACTGATCTGTAGGAAGTAACAATGTTTGGGATTTATTGAGTATTCAGGTTCTCTTAATTTAACATTTTTTATATTTACTGTAGTTATATAAATTATTAATTATTATGAGTACTACTAAAACTATGTATCATTTGTATCTATTCAGCTTTTAAATAAATGATTATTTTAATTATTATTTAACATTTATAAAATAAAATTTGTATACTATTCATAAAAGTTTGTGGTGTTTATAATTTTACTAATAAAAGTTCAATGTAAATTAATATTTATTTATTTATTTTTAATGCTAATTTAAAGTCTTTTTTCAAATATTTAGATAACAAATAAAATAGATACATTCAATTAATAAATAAAATGGTCAGATTTATTTGAGTTATACATTATACATTTATCTTAATTTTTAAATTTAAAAGAATTAAGTTTTATAACTATAAAATATTATTTAATTAAAAATGTGTGTATTAACAATATTTATTTATTATTTTATTATTGAAAAATAATTTAAGCAGTTTCTTTAATTTATAAATGATTTTTATATATCCGACATAATAAATTTTCTTTCCCAAGTCAAACATTGAGAACTCTTGGTTAGTATTAAAATTAATTGATCTATTATTCAATTTGAGATAATATTATTATTTTTGCTGTATTGACTTCATTAAAATTTTTTGGAAGACATTAATATCTACATTTAGTTACAGATTAATACACAATAATTTAGTATTGTCTTATAAAAATAAAATTTGAAATTTGAATAATTTATAGAAATAGCATATATATAAATATATAATATCCTATTCAACTTATAACATTATAAATTTTGTATTAAAAATTATCAAATATGTGACTTTTAAAATTACAACTATTTAAAATATAAAAATAAAAAATAAAAAATGATCAAACCATTTTTCTAAAAATAAATTAAATGTATTTGTTTTGACATAAAAGTACTAACAAATTAAAAAAAATTGTCATAACTCATCAGCTAAGACGCCAAAGTGTCACAATATCACAAGAATATTAAAGAATTGTCCACTTGTTTAAATTTATTTTTGATTTCACATTGAGCCTGTAATAATTTTAAGTATCAGTATCAGAAAATTTCTTAAATTTTGGTTTAAAATATTTCTTATATAAGAACTGTTACTTAAATAATATTAAATTTTGAATTATACTCCTATTAAAATTATTTTAGATTTTTGGCTTTTCAAAATAATCTAAATGTTTACATTTTAAAAATTTGAGTAGTTATACCTATTGATTTTTTTATTATAAGTTCAGTAAAATGCAGGTTTGTTTTTATCTGGGACTATTTTCCAACAACATTTTGGGTTCTGAATTAAAAATAATTGTGAGTGCTATAATAGTTATTATTATTATAAGACTTGGAAAGTGATTTATATTTGCTCCATAAATTAGAAAATTCAAGGGGTATACTTCAATTTTTTTTTTACGTTATAGGTCAGGGGTGGCAATTAGGTCCAACCCGACATGAGTTTGAATCGATTGTGACTCTCTTTTATTTTATTTTTTATTTTTTAGAAAAAGAAAATTTTTTTTACATTTTTTTTTTTTTGTACATTTTTATATTTTTGTTCAACTCTTAAGTATAAAAATTAAATAAATAACAATTAATTAAAACAACATATAGTAATAATAATATTAAATAACTATGAAAAATGAAATTATACACTGAGATTTAGTCATAGGTTAAAATAATTTTGTGTGTATCTAAATTTATTTATCATTATTTTTAAACATAGTAGGTATCAACCTAAAAATCTAAAAAATAGTTTTAATTAAAAAAAAATAATAACTTTTTGAAATATTTTTGAAAATTGCTATGAATTTTATAAAGCAGTATCTAATCAATAATTTGTAAAATCTATTATTTTTTTAAGTTTTCATTAAATTTTATGATATTACTATTTATACTATGGCTATAATCATTGTAATTGATTTTTAAAATCTTAAAAGTAGTTACTTCCATTATTATTATTTTTTTTTCGATATAAATGCTTCAACAGTAGTTGATTATTTATTATAAAAGGCATAGCCTACATTTATATTTATTTACATGACTTATTGATATGATTGTTTGCTTAGTTTAATTGGGGCGATTACATTTAATTTTTATTATTATTATTTTCAAATTAAATCATATTAGTAGTCATTCTGGTTGTATTCATACCAATGGCAATAGGTTTATATTAAAAATGTTATTTCCTGGTTAATAATAATTTTCAAATAAATAACTTTTTATTAATTTAATTTTTTTTATAATTTGATACCTACTATTTTTATAAACTTTAAAAATTACAATTGTTTTAATTATAAAAAAGTATTTAACTATGAAATGTTAAAAAAATATTTCTATATTTAATTTTTTAAGTCATGATTTAAATAATGTAAATGTAATTTTAAATTTAATAATAATTATGTTACAATTTTCATAGAGACAAAACTAATATTTTATTGGAAAAATCATGTTCCTTAATTCAAATATATTCGGTTATTGTTATCTACTTGAAAGTTTAAGTTTGAGAATATTTTTGAAATTGAACTAATTTTGAGTAATCAGACAAAAAACTTTAATATTCTTATGATAAATAAATTATACTTGCAAAATGATGTGATAATATTGTGAATTTAATGCCTTAAATACCCAAAAGAATACCAAAAACTGTAATTCCAAATCTATTTAAATTATTACAAATTTCACTTCAAACTGAAAATTGACAAGGCTGGGCAAGTTATAACCAATTTTTCTAACGCTTTAAGTTTATTTAATAAAGAAAAATTTAAGATAAAAGCTACTTTTCTTTTTAGTTAACTTGTAAAAGCTACAAGTTAATAAGAAAAAAGTAATAATAATTAGTAATAAGTAACTTGTTAAAAATAAGTTACTTTTTTTCATATAAAATCAGTAATAGGCACCTTTTGTTAAAGATTAAAAAATAATACAATGTAATAAAATTTTTACTATTTAGCACTATCCATAATTTTGTTTATAAATATTAGTAGGTATTTAAAGCAATATTAACAAGTTAAACGTCGATTCGATTTAGTATACGTAAATGCGTCATGCGTGCGTCCGTTACCGAAGGCACGACTACTTTAGTTGGATGTAATCAAGAAAATAAACCAAAAATTACTTACTATGAAACTCTTAAAAACTAGAAATAACTTCTTAAACCAACAGATGTTGAGTCAAGATAAATTATCCAAAGAAGTCCAACAATTTAGAAATAAGAATTCTAAGATTTTTACAGGACATAAAATAAGAAAAAAATCTAGGATCAATAATAAATTAAACGTAAAAGATCTTCAATTTATTATTAATAATGAAAATCTTTTGCATATGTTGTACATCTGATTTGATTAGATCATATTCAGTCTACGTAACGTACCGAAAAAAAATGTACATTAAGCTCTCCAATGAAGCTCAAAATCTAATGAATATCAATCCATTATAAGAATATAATTATTTTTACTATATTTTTATTACAGGTTTTATATAGAGAAAAAAATACTTAACGGTACTAAAAAATTAATTAACTTAACTTTAACTCGTTAAGTAACTTAGTTAAAATATAATAACTTTATAATATAAAATATAATACAATATTATAAAATATAATTACTTAACTTTA